CATACACTCGACCCTTCACAGACAGCCGGATGTCGTGACGGCGCCACAGATGTCTCAAGTTGGCAAATGTCAGTCAGACCTTCTGTTTGCGAGCAGACATTTCATCCGTAATGCATCCACCAGATGAGATGTAGCTGACCAGATAACAACACTTATTTACTTGCTCTATTACTTCCCCAGCTAGAGTAAGGCTGTGTGCTGGACGAAGCCAGTATTGTAGTACCATTTTACACGTTGAAGGTGCAAAACGCATACCGAACATGGCTACACTAGTGCTCAAACTCCAGAAAAGCTTGTAACTTACCTGGATCTTCACTTAGTAGCACAACGTCGTCTGCATACTCTAGATCAGACAATCTGTCTCCTGGGAGTAAATCGATGCCACTATCCTCGCACGAGGATAGGGCTGTTTCCATAATCAGATCTACAACAAAGTTTAAATAGAAAAGAGGAGACAAGGCAACCCTATCGAACACCACTTTCCGTGGTGAACTCGGGCGAAAAAGTGCCGTAAGCCCGGACTCGGCTTCGGCTATCGGTATAGAGGGATCGCAATATTGAAATAAACTTCTCGGGCACACCTTTCAGAGAAAGGAAGCGCCAGAGTTTATAGCGGTCGACTGAGTCGAAAGCCGCTTTAACATCCAGGAAGATGGAGATGATGGGCCTACGAAGAGAATGTCAGTGCTCCAGAGTATGGTGAAGAGTGAAGATGTGGTCGATACAACCTCGACCAGGTCTAAAGCCAGCCTGGTTCTCACACGGGCATCGTTCACATGCGGCTAACAATTGACGGAGCATGATACCAGCGAGAGGTTTAGAAGCAATGTTGATTAAACTAATTCCTCTGTGGTTTTCACAAGAGGATCAGTCACCTTCCTTGTAAATCGGTATGATGACCGATTCACACCATTCAGCTGGAACCTCTTCCATCTCCCACACTGAGCCCAGGAGTTTCGTTAACTCCGAAACCAATGCTAAACCTCTATCCTTAAAAACGGATGGGGAGAGCCCGTCTGGGCCGGAGGCCTTGTGCCTTTTAAGATTGCTTATTTCCCGGGAAACCTCCAGTTCAGACGGAGGACTGGCATTGACTGGCAGATTGTGCGCAGTAGCGATGGAGGGTGATAGTTCAGATGTCGATGGGAGCCAGTTGAACCAAGACTCTAAATGCTCAGCCCATCGATCAAGACGGCGTTGCTGATCGTGAATCAGTGTGCCACCGGATTCCCTAATTACCTCACGCTTATTTTCTTAGGACCCGTATTCCCAATTAGACGGAAAAGATTGCGACTATTACCAATAGCCGCAGCCTTCTCCACCTCTCTACACTTTCCTATCCACCACTTCTTGCGGTCATTCCTTAGACTCTTGATGAGCTGGGGTCTGAGGGATTTGCGCGCCGTCATATGCGGCATCGGGAGGGAGGGTTCTGCGGGTGTTCAGCACGGCAGCCGAGGTAGACGAGATCCATCGTTTGTGTTTTGAATCTGCGCCGGGGTCCGACGTTTTTTAATGATCTTTGCATGACTTCCTTGCTTTGCTTTCAGTGTTCATTGAGTCCTTCGGCTGGTGGTTGAACTGACAGGCGATCGGAGAGTTCCACTTCGAAGATCGATTTGCAGCCATCGCGGACGCTGTATCGTAGGTATCCGTTTTCGGTGGGTTTTTTACGGTTGTTTGTCAACCGTAAGGAGAATTTGGCTCGTAACAAGGCGTGGTCTGTGTCCACAGCTGTTGACCAGTAAGAGCGGCAGTATTGAATCGATCCCCTCCAGCGGTAACTGGTAGTCGATTTGGGTCCAGCTCTGTGAAGAGGTTGGCGGTTCCAATGTAAGGCGATGTCGTTTCTTGTGCGAGAAGTTCGTGCTTGACAGGAACAGTCCGTGGTCGGCACCGAGTTGAAGAAGGCGATCGCCGTTGTCGGTCCATTTGGCTGGGATTGAATGTGGTCCGTCAAGAAGCCTCTCTGATTCGTCCAGGAGTCCCACTTGAGCTTTGAAATCTCCAGCAATCACCACGATATCCGTTGATCGAACGCTTTGGAGTAATCGTGAAAGGTCCTTGTAGAATTCATCCTTGATTTCAGGTGTACTGCAATCGGTCGGTGCATGCACCGATACGACGAATAGGCATCGACGCTTCGTTCCGTAGCTGTTAACCCCTGCTGAGCCGTTGAGACGTTTTGCGCACAGTCGGCTACTGACTGGAGTCCAGTCGAGAAGCGAGCGTTCAGCCTTGGCACTTAGCGCAATCCCGACACCAGCAACACCGCGAGCTTTGGACGCCAAAACGCCTGACACATGAAGGGTGAAGCTTGA